TTTGGATTTAACCATTCGGTCAAACCTACGACAACAGAATATCCAGTCAAAGCCTAGGTCAAACATGACCTAACCCAAGTCAAAGTCAAACCTGTTCAGTCAATTCACAATCCTCAACAATTCAATTCAAACAATCAATTTAATTCAATTAACCAATTTAGCCAAATTATAGCATAAACACATATAACGATCCAAACCATTAAATCTATTCTGAATGCTATTAACTTCATAGCACGGACCTGGATTACGTCGAAATCGAATCGATAGCTCGAACGGAAGACAAATCAACGAAATCAACCGAACGGGTCAAATCGAGTCAAAGTACGAAATCGACCAATCAATCCGGCGTGGAGGTTAATCTGCCGGCGATATCAACTCGGGGCAGCGGCCGGATGCGGCGACGGGGACGGACGCCGGCGACAGTGGCGGAGCGGCAGTTCGACGGCGATGAGCAGCGACCGGCGGCGCTGCAATCGACGGCGGTGCTGCACTCGACAGCGGCGGATGGCCGCTGTGCAAAGGGCGACGGCGGCGCTCGATTCCGGCGAAGGCGAGGCAGCGGTGGCGCTGCAACTCGGCGGCGCTGCAATCGACGGCGGCGATGTCGGCGGCTGGCTGCTCCAGTTGGACGGCGATGACCGGCAGCTGGCTCACGGCCGCGCTGCACCAGTCGGCGATGATGGCGGCGAGGCTGGGGAAGGCGATGGCGGCTCTAACTGGACGGCGACGACCGGCTGGGGAAGGCGACTGGCGGCGGCGACTCTGGCTTGCGCGACGCCGGGCAGTGACGATTGGCTGCGGCGAGGAAGAAAGAAGAAGAAGAAGAAGAAGAAAGAAGAAGAAGAAGAAAGAAAAAGAAGAAGAAAGAAGAAGGAGAACGAACGAACGAACGAAAAAAAAGATAAGGATTGTGTGGCTGAGGTTAGGTTTATTTAATGGTCCCATTCCTTCTTGGTTGCCTGCAGATCGTCCAAGCTCTTTTCCATCTTCACAATCAAATCATACGCCGCATTAAAATCTGTCGTCGTGATCAGTGCGGCGTACGGCCTTAAGTTCGGCCGTAGCTTCTTGACGAACTCATTCAAACGATCCTCCGGAGTGGAGACCAGACTCGTCGCATACTGGGACAGGTAGTCGAACCTCTGTCTCAGTTCAGGCAGTGACATCCCCTCTTGCTTAAGCGCAACGAACTCATCGCGCCTCTCCTCGCGGTACCGGGTGGGGACGTACTCCTTCGTGAAGGCTCGATCGAAGCGATCCCAGGTCCACGACTTGGGCGTGTGTGGATCCTGGTCAATGCGCTTCCACCAATCATATGCTCCCTTCCGGAACATCTGTGACGCCAACTCCGAGCGATCAGCATCTGGGACTCTCAAATTCTTGAGTACCCGGTCCATCTGCTCAAGCCAATCCAATGCAATCTGGGGCTCCCCCATATTGTCTCCTCGGAACTCTTCCGCTCCGTTATCCTTCAACGTCTTGAAGGTAACGATGCGCGGCTGCGGCTGTGGTGGTGGCGCTGGCTGGAACATGGGCATAAACTGCGCCATGTGCTGCATATAATGGGCCATCATGGCCGAGAACATCTGCTCGTAGGCCACCGGCGGTATCGCCAACGGTGGCATCACTGGAGGTGGTACGACTGGCGGTGGTACAGCTGGTGGCTGTCCCGCTGGCTCAGGTGGATTCTGTCGTTGCCCTCCGTCACCCGGAGGCGTGAAACTCGAACCCTCGGTGTTCGCCGTGTGCACGCTCACGTGCTCCAGCTCCGGAATGTACTGACCGTGGGTCGATTCTTGACTCATTCTAAAATAATAAGGAAATTCCCAAATCATATCTTAACATATAACAGATAAAGCTATAAATACTTATTACCTTCCCGGGGCAGAGGAGTTACGTGAGATGCAGATGCGGCTGAATTACTCATCGTATTATTATTATTTTTTCTTTTCTTGAAAGGGTCCAAAGACCGATTTTAAAACCAAATGCTCCGATACCAAAATGTAACACCCCAACCCGCATGACCCAAACTCGTGAGACAGCGGACCGGTGTGCCACTGAATTGGTATCCGAATTTGCGACATTTTCAAAACAATTTTAAACAAACGTTCTATCAATACATATAAAAATCCATCGGAGTAATTTAAAATAATGCGGAAGCCTTTTTAAAGTCAAACAACTTGGGATCTTGCCCGAAAACGTAATAAGCATTAAAGTTAATTAAATAAAGCATATCAACAGATTAAGGAAACAGCCACGCCATCGTACATCTCCTCCTCAATGCCCTCTGGGATCGGCTCTAAGTTCATCTGTCTGATCACCTACGGAACAACGCTATCCGCTCAGCATTGACGCTGAGTGGTACTCCATTGTAGCACAAGAATAAACATAATAATTCAACAATTAAGATCGTGCATATGTTTATCCTTTTAATAAAAATCAATTCAACTTTACATTCGGTTCTTTAGACGGTTGACCAACA